GGCACGCCGGGAGATGTAGTCCGAGTCCCTACTCGGACAGGTCGCTCTACCGCCCAGAGTTTCATAAGAGGAGGCGGGCAGTCCCGAGGGCAGGCTGGGATTTACAGCAGGGAGTGCTGGGACTCCAAACCACAGGGAAACAGCCTCGGGCGCTTTCCGCTAGCTATTTATTCAGGGTAGATCTGGCAGTCCAGAGCTGATTGGGCTGCCCAGAAGAGAGCTAGGGGCTAGACCTCCCCTTGCTAAACCACCCTGCCTCGAAAGAGCCAAAGTTCTAGAGGGCTGAAAGGCCTGAATCAGACATTTAGGACAACAAAAGTGCAAGGTCAAATGGGGGATGGGGAGAGTGAAGCAGTCACAGAAAGGTGGAGCTATCCTGGCAGGCACTAAGGTAATCTGGCCTCATGTAGGGGTCCTCAGCTCTCCCACCAAGTAGAAATGGGCAGCCAGAACAATTATTCATTCCACAGGTATTTATTGATCTTGTTGCACAACCAGGCCCTGTGCTGGGGGCACAGCTGTGAATGAAGCATGGTCCCTGCCACCGTGGTATCCTCTTTACTCACAAACACACACATTGCTCCCTGAACACAGGGTTATGGTCATCACCCTTTCAGAACATGAGTGGAACTAAGTAAGTGAGAACTCGAGTGAGAGCAGAGGGTGACCATTAAAAGGCTGCTGAATTTCCCCCAGGAAACTGTTGGGTCACACACATGTCCAATTTTCCAGGTCCCAGACATTGCAGTACTGCTTCATAATAGTCCCCAGAGGCAAAGCCAGGAAGAACCAGAAGGAAACAGGATTTTCTCACAAGCTTCTCACATGAAGAGCAGCCCGCATCATTCAGTGGTTAGTCAAAGGTAATGGAGGACCCCTGCCTCTTAAAAGGCACCAATGAGAACCCTTACTTGGACCTACCCCCACACCAAAGTTGACCCCTCATCATGACTCTTGGAAAGGGGCAACTGGGAGAAGGGACATGGATGTGCTTTGGGCTGTGTCAGATGGCAGACAGGTCCCAGCTCTCATTCTAAGGTCCCAGCCTTGCCAGAGGAACCGGCCCAGGCCTAATGGGCACACCCATTTGAACATCCATCCAGGAGCTAGTTCAAGGACCGAGGAACTCAGGACACCCAAATCCTCAGCTTTGCTTCCTAGGCAAGCATCAGAAGAGTTTAGACATTTATTTTTGTGGCACAACACAAAGGGAAAGGAGGCCACTAGGGGGCGCAAAGGAAGAAATGGGGTTTCTGTTTCTTAAAACTCCTAATCTTGGCCTTTCAGGTTAGATGGAGCAGGTTCTAGTGCATCAGAGTAGTGGAATTGCACTGAGGGTGAGGGAGCAGGCAGAAGACAGGGGTGTATGTGTTGGCAGGAGGGCAGAGGGCACTCGAGGATTCTTACTAAGTAGAAGTGGAGTGTTTTTAGGGTAGAAGAAAGAAGAATTGGGTGGCAGCCAGGCAAAGACAGACAGCCCCTGTCAGGAGCTCATGCTGAAGCAACACAGTAAGCCCTTAAGGAACTTGAATCTGTGAATGTGACCCAGACAAAACAGGCATGCAGGCAACATTCAGAATGCACAGGGAACACACTTCGGCCTCTGGTGGCCCAAACCAAGCCTGGGTGGACACGGAAAGGCCAATGTCTTGGCTAGGAGCCATCATTCAAGTGTAGGAGAGCAAATTCAGGTCATAACAGCCATCCACCTGCAACACAAAAGACCATCAGGTCTGACCCGCTCAGGGCAATGCAAGCCAAGCAGAGGGAAGCAACACTTACATCAAAGCGGCCAATCCTCGCCGACGTGTGACTGGCCCGGATCATCTCTGTCAGTGCCCACATCTGCTGCACCTCGGAGGATACTCTGCTGGGGTCTGGGAGACCCTGCTCCAGAAAGAGGGGTCAGTGGCCATGGGTCTCTCCCAGCAATACCCCTAGGGCTCCGGGAAGGCCAAGTTGGGCTAGGGGCCCTCCAGCTGAGACCAG